TCTGTTGCTCTGTGTGATTAGATGCGTAAAGACAGTATGCTGGGAGTTAACAACAAGAAATGGAAAGAGAGCTAGAAATTATTAACTGCACGCTACTGAATTGTCAACTGGCCAGAGGTTCGCAGGTCTGGACACTGTAAACATTATTCAGGAACAGTACTTGTAAGGCACTCAGTTTTATTTGGTAAGTCACATTGATATGAGTTACCAGACCAAGTCTTTCTCAGCTGTGTTATAAAAACATTTACTAAAATTTCTGCACAAATGTTAGCTCATTATTCAGATGTGGGACAGTTCGTGGCTGTCTTTGCCACTACATCCTACTTCCAGCATTGTTATTATTTTCCGTTTCTCGCTCATGTCAATTTCTCATAGTTAATTCCTTAAATAAATAAAATACTTGTTTTGCTCTTGAAATGCACCTGTGAAGCAGATGGCACTGTATATGATCTACACTGCCTGTTGTGTATGTAGTGTGCTGTAACTTTTCCTTTATTTATCCGTGCAGGAAGTTTACAGATCAGGTACAAGCTAGACAGCCATCAAGATCCTGATGTCTTCAGCATCAATATCAAAAGCATGGCTGATGGACAACTGCAACACGTGAAGATTAACAGAGAGGAGGAAATGCTCTTTGCAGAGGTAATGCAGTTAGACAAAAAAGAAAAAAAAAAAGTGGATTATTTTTAAAAAGTAGATGATCCAAAGCAAAATAGTTACAAGGCAATTATCCCCAAATAAACTGTGTTTTAATATCTCAAGTAAATAAAACAAAGGTTAGCAGACTCACAATGCACAGTGAAAGTCTATGTTAGACAACCTCTTTGGTGTTCATCTTGTCCATTCCAAATGGTCAATACCTCCTCATCATTTTATATGAAAATGCTATTAATTTCTTGGTGGTTTAAATTTTCACAATTGTGAAATGTTTATAACTGACATCGTTTGGTTTGGGTCTTTCATTTTGGTGTTCTTGCTTCAAATTGCATATCCAACTACAATTCAAATCTATTACCGTCTAGACAATAATTTAATCCTATTTGTGTAATTTTGTTTGGTCCCTTTTACATCAAAGGAATGCAACTATTAAGGAAAATATAAGAAAATATTTTTTTTTGTGTCAATTTAATGATGAAATAGTAACATTTTATTTGCTAATAGTAGATACTAGCATATAAAGAAGTCTTTATTTTTTACATTAAAATTTGAAAAACTCAGATGTTATCATCTCAGAAACTCAGAAGTTAGTATTTTGAGGCTAGAGATGAGTTTGCTTAATTATGCATTGGTATAAGGCTTGAAGGCAAGTAGTTCTAGGGGTACCCTGGGGGGCAGAGCATTTATAGTGTAATATTTGGTCTTTATGAACCAAGTGTTGAGTGCCTTTTTTAATGAAAATATCCTTTTTCATGTTTTTGAAGGTTTACCATTTTTATTCATCTTATAGATGAAAAAGAAAGAATCAGCCAAATCAATAAGACAAATAAAGGCTTATTACGTAGGGTGCTTAAGAAGTATCACAGCTATAATCAGTGATCTGAGGAAGCTGATCATCTATTTCCTGATTAGTTTTAATGCTGTAACTAACAAATAATTCCCTCAGCTCCTTTTATTTTTAACCTTGATCTTTTCTGCTTTTTTCCACGCTTTGACGAATATCTCTTCCATTTGTCTACTTTATTCTTCACACTATTCTGCAGGTTAACCAGAATGAAAGAATGAACTTTATTCTGTCTTCAGGAACAGAATTCAATGCAATCAAGTCTCTTACGCTTGGCAAGATTTTAGGTAAGTGGAACACCACAGAGTTTTCTAAAACATAGATCAAAATGTCATCAGAGCACATAAAAAATAATAACCCTAATCTCGTTGAAAGACATTTGTTGTCTCAGATTTAATTAGATAGTGAGTCACAATCAAGGTAGAAACTTCAGTCTTGTTGAAATATAAATATGTTCATGGGTAAATACTTCCTGAAAAAGTGGGTTCCATTAAAAATAATTTCACACTTCTCTCTCTCATTTTGCAATCAAGCATTATGAAATACTTTGGTTTTTTTTACTCTCAGGAAAAAATAAATCACTGTGAAATCATACACAAAGACTACAGAATACTGTTAATCAGGTACCGTATTTGAAAAAGTTTATGTGATTAGATTTTGATGTAAACAGTTAGGGATAAGATAATGTACACAAAAATGTTTTTGGAGTTACTTTTTAAAAACAAGTTAAGCTTTGACAAAATATTTTGTCTAGTGATGGTTTATTGAAAGCTGTCTGTTTCTGTGTAGTGATGATCAAAATGGAATTTATTTATCTGCAATTACCATTTTGTCAATTTTGTTAAAACAAAATAGCCTGAACAAAATTCTCAAGATCTTATTATTTTCATATTCGTGAAATTGGGAATACTCAATGACAAAAGAAGTTGTGGTGCTGGTGAAAAGTTAAAGGATAGTTCTCTTTCCTCTGAAGTAATTTAAAGTCTGTGCTGCTACATTCCCATATCAAGTAAAGTTCCATTTGTGCATTCTTCCTCTAATAACACTTTTTGTCACAACAATATGAAAATAGAGCTGGTGTAGTTTGTGGTATGCAGTAACTATGGCTACACCGACCTTTTCAGGATTTTGTAGTTCCAACCCCCGTGTCATGGGCAGGGACACCTTTCACTAAATCAGATTTTTCAAAGCCTCATACAGCCTGACCTTGAATACTTCAAATGATGGGGCATCCGCAACCTCTCGGGGCAACCCGTTGCTCACTACCCTCATCATAAAAACAAACAAACAAACAAGGAAAAAGTCTAATCTAAATCTACCCTCTTTCATTTAAAACTGTTACCCCTTGTCCTGTCACTACAAGCCCCGGAAAAAAAAAAAAAACTCTCCATCTTTATTATAAGCTTCCTTTATATATTGAAAGGCTGCAATAAGGTCTTCCTAAAGCCTTCTCTTCTCCAGGCTGAAGAACCCCAAGTCTCTTAGCCTTTCTTCAGAGAGAGGTATTCCAACCCTCTGAACATTTTTGTGGCACTCCTCTGGGTTCAGTAGAACATGTCCATACCTTTCTTGTGTTGGTAACCCCAGAGCTGGATGCAGTACTCCAGGGTGGGTCTTATCCAGAGTGGAGTACAGGAGCTGAATCACCTTCCTTGACCTGCTGGTTACACACCCTTTTGTGCAGCCCAGGTTACAACTGACTTTCTGGGCTGCAAAGCACACATTGACATCTCATTTCCAGTTTTTCATCCACCAGTATCTCCAAGTCCTTCTCTGCAGGGCTGTTCTCAATCCATTCATCCCCAGTCAGTACTCATACGGGGGTTGCTCAGACACAGGGGCAGGACCTTGCACTTGGCCTTGTTGAACTTTGTGAATTTCATGTTGGCCAACTCCTCAAGCCTGTCAAGGTCCCTCTGGATGGCATCCCTTCCCTCTAGTGAATCAGCTGCACCACTCTTCTTAGTGTCATCCATGAACTTGCTGAGGATGCACTCAATCTCACTGTCCATGTCATTAATAAAGTTATTGAACAGTACGTCTCCCAGTGTGGCACTGTCCCTGAGGCACACAGGTTGTTACTGATCTCCAGTTAGATATTGAGCTGTTGCATGTAACTATTTGGATGAGGCCATCTGGCTAATTCCTTATCCATCAAATAGATAGCTGAGGTTCTCAATCTGAAGATCATTGTGCAGAATAGGTGGAAGAATAATTTTGTGATATAATAGAATACATACAGTGATAATTGTTTTCATAACTGCAGTAACCAAATGCTAAATAGCTTAAAATGTATTAAATAATTAAATTTAAAGAACATATTTGCAATAGACTTTTTAAAAAAATCCCAACTATTACTTAGTTGTGGTTGTCTAGAAGAGGCTCAGTGTAGCTGATCTGTTTTCTCACTGTAAAAATAATTAAGGACCTCTAACACAAACAGAAATTTATATTACTTTTGAAATGTAGATTTTCTTTATAGAACTCACAGTCCAGAAGAGAACTGGTATGTAGATATACACAGAGAATGTAAAAGAGAATGGTCATTTAAGCATAGCTTTAAAGCAATATTGACTGAAATATAAAGTAGCAGAAAAAAATTGCATAAAATATTTCAAAACCCCACAGCTCAATGATAAAACTGAATCAGGTATTTATAACGTTTTGAAGTGCAGTAGGCTATTGCAGTCGTAGTAGTCTATTACAGTCACACTCACACAAGGGTAATACTACAATAACCAGTACAGAATTAAAGGTTTTGTTCTCTTTGTTATGAAATCACATATCCAATCTTGCATCAATTTACTTAAAAATTTATTTGACGCAATGCAATTTTTAGGCAAATGGCAGTTTCTTTCGCTCAGGACCAACAACTCTTCCAAAGAAACCACGCTGTTACAAAAGTTCAAAGGTGGAAATTTCTTCAGCTATATGATGGCTTTGCATCATCACAGTAGTGTGAAACAGAGTTACAATGATCTGTGGGGGCACTCAGCCCAATTTAGCTCAGTTTACAGAGCCTGTCCTAAAGGAAATATATTATATACTTCTCTCCCTTTCAAAGGAGAGATGCTATGGAAGTGCTGCTTTTTCTTCTATAAATCTGACCACTTTGGTTCCTGGTTCCTGTGAAGTCATGTCTAGAGATGGAAGGAAACCTGGTGAAAGCAGTGGAAAAAATAATGGGTGTTTACTGCAGTGAAGAGGTGTAAACAGAAGAAGAAGTAGACAAATACAAAATCATCTATTTCTTGTACTTTGAAAGGTTGTTGAGAAAAAACCCACAAGTTTTAAAGTAGGCCTGAAAGATTGGATTTTCTAAGAATTATCTTTGGTTGGTGAAGTACTTCTTTGAGCTCTTCTGCAGTTGTACATAGCTCAGGTTTTTTTTGTTGAAAGCAAATGTGAGCGTTAGCTGCTGAACTAGTTTTGAATTCCCAGTGTTTTTCCTTACTTCCCAAAACCTAAGCCTTCCACTTTAAAGACTTTTGAATACATGTTACGCGACATTATGACAAAATAGACAAGGAGCTAGGCTGTATTGAAACTCCGCAAAATATTTGAAGGTTAACTTGTGAGGGAAAAGAGAAACAGCACACTCAGACACTGAGTTCACAGGATACAAGCCAAAGGTCTCCTTATGTTTTTGTTTTCCTCCTAAGACGATACTTTCTCTCAAAGCAGCCTATACAGTAAGAAGACCGTAGAAACCTTTCTTTTTACAGCAACCCACTGAGGAAGTAATTTGCTTCCACTGAGTAAAGCAGCGTTTGCCCAGGACAAAGCTTCCTAGCCTTCCTCAGGGAGAGGGTGGGGAGCTGTGGGTGATGTTTTTCTTCAGTGAGAGTTGTTAACCTTTCCATGCCAACTGAGATGAAGATGGACTTTTAGCAAGATTTACTTGAGTCTGATCTATACACAAATTTTTACCAGCTGAAGAGAATGTATGATTTTAAGCTATTTCAGTTAAACAAAGGCATCATACTGAATATGGACATTTCCAACAATGTCCATTGGAAACATTGAAATTTATTTCAGTAATAAATTGGTTATTACAGTAATAAATAAAAACAATTTTTCACTAGACTCTTAATAAGAAGACTTAAATTAAACCAGTCATGTATTTTGTACCCACATTTGAAACAAAATATCTGTGTATTCAAACTATTCCATTCTATTTGTAGTGAAATTGTCCTTTCTTATATTGGTTTGTCTCTGAAAATGCAAGATTTAGTTCTGTTTTTATGGGAATATCTTTGATGATAACTGATAATTGCACAGCTTGCTTAAGAGCTCTAATTATAGTTTTATTGATAATAGAATGATGGAATTGCAAAACTCTCTCTGTGCTCAACTGATATGTAAATATATAGTGATAATTCAAATTGTTAATTTGAAAATCAGCTTTTTAAAACAGTAATGTCTGGGTACTCCCAAAAAAAGTGCTGCAGTGTACCACATACTGACAATAGTTGCTTTAAAAATGTCCATTTCTGTTTATGCAGTTTTTTCTACTGTACAAATATGGGAATTCTTATAGTAAATCTTTTAAAGCTGTTTTAGAAAAATAGACTTTAATAAAAGTCTATTAGTGTAAAATATGCATTTTTACACAGGTCCCTCAATTTCAAGTACATATAATTACACTACAGCAAATTTATACGAGTTTTTTTTTTTTAATCAGTTTTTCATTTTAGTCAGACAAGCTAGTACTTCCAATACAGAAGCTTTTCAGGATGATCATTTGGGGAAAGAAAGTTTCCACTGGCTTGCAATCTTGGACAAAACACTAGTATTTGAAAAGTCAATATTCAGGGACTTAATGGCCATACTTCTGTTTGATGAAATAATTCTCTTAACAAAATATTTGCCTTCTAATGTTTTATTTTAAAGTTTTTTCTACTCAATCTCAGCAGTGTGACAAAAGACAGCTCCACAAATAACACCCACTTGTGACTCCTGATTGCTGAATTTGTAATGTTAAAAAAGCAGCAAAAACTCTTAATGACCAAATTACCTATTCTTGTTAATCAAATTGCCGTCTTTGCTGGCGTATTTTTCAGCAGTAAACCACTGAAACAAACAACAAATTAAGGAAAAAGGGCCTAGATAATTTTGGATGTTTTAAAAAGATATTATTTTTGCACAAAAGTCAGAGAAATAATTATTTGATGATGCATTTTTTAATAATTTTTCTCCTCCTGGTCAGTTCAATCTGAATCCTAAGTAAACCTCAGTAAAATAATGTTGTATTTCTTCATATTAAAAGTAACAGTGTAGCAGCATTTATGTGATCACATATTAACCACAGGGAAAAAAAAAAACAACCAACCAACCAACCAGCCATATATGATTCAACTGAAATCAGTGGGTGTATCTGTGTGATTAGTTTTAACCTAATAAGCATTTTTAGTGCAAAAGACCTGGCCATAATAACACTTTCATACCAACACAGGCTTGTGGCACAAATGTGAGATTTTGCAGCAGTCCATTACAAGCACATCACTGGTGCTTCTTTCTGGTTATTTGACTGTGAAAGTCAAATGTGCATTAATTTTTTCTACTGAACAGCTTTATAGAATCATAGAATCATACAATATCTCGAGTTGGAAAGGATCCATAAGAATCATCAAGACTAACATTCTGGTCCTTGCAGAACTGCTTAAAACTAAACCATATGACTAAGAACATCGTACAGGTGTTCCTTGACGTCTGCCTAGCTTGGTGCTGTGACCTCTCCCCAGGGGAGCCTGTTCCAGTGACCAACCACCCTTTCAATGAAGAACCTTATCCTAACATCCAATCTGAACTTCTCCTGAAGCAGCTTTGTTCCACTTCCTTCTGTTCTATTGCTGTCACCAGAGAGAGGAGATCAGCACCTTCCTCTCTGCTGATCCACTTGAGGAAGTTGTAGACTGCCATGAGGTCACCCCTCAGCCTTCACTTCTCCAAGCTGAACAAACCAAGTGACTGCAGCTGCTCCTCTTAAGTCTTGCTCTCAAGACCTTTTTTGGTCGCCCTCCTCTGGACACACCCTAAAAATTTTATATCCTTCTTGTATCAAGACACCCAAAAACTGCACACAGTGCTGGAGGTGGGGCTGCACCACTGCAGTGTAGAGTGGGACAGTCACCATCCTCGACTGGCTGGCGATGTTGTGCTTGATGCACCCCATGACACAGTTGGCCCTTTTGGCTGCCAGGGCACTGGTTGACTCATATTCAGCTTGCCATCAGCTGAAAACCCTAGATGCCTTTCTGCAGACTGCCCTCCAGATTCTTGTCCCCCAATTTGTATGTATAAGCAGGATTATCTCTTCCCTGGTGGAGAATCTTGAACTTGCTCTTGTTATATTTCATATGGTTGGATTGCCCAACTCTCTAGTCTATCCAGATCTCTCTATAAGGCCTCTCTAGCCCTTGAGGGAGTCCACAGTTCCTCCTCATTTTGGCAAACTTACTTAACGTATCTTCAATTCCTGCATCCAGATAATTTATAAAAACATTGAAGAGCACTGGCCCTGAAATTGAGCCCTAGAAAACCCCACTGATGACTGCCCACCAGCCTGATGCAACCCCGCTTACTACAACCCTCTGAGACTGACCTGTCAGCCAATTAATCACCCAATGTATTATGGACTAGGCTAATTTTGAGACAGTATTGCATAGGAACTTGAAAAATTTTGAAATCTTCAACATCATAAAAGCAGAAACGTCAAGGATAGTCTTTCAGTTGAACAGTTCTTATCTTAAAATGTTCTTCTTGTATGTCTGCTGACTTTCAGAATTACTTTACAGAAGAAAGATGGTTGAAGCAGAATTCAAGAAAGAGAGTTATTGAGTTTGTGTTTTGCTTTTGTGGTGTTTTTCAAATAAGGCAAGTTAGGTGGAGTAATTTTGTCTTTCTTTGCTGAAAAAATTTTAGTACACTTAGTAAATGAATTGCTATAAAGATGCCTAAGAATGCATAACTGCAGGTTACAATTAAATAAAGTGTCTGACAAGCAACTTGTCTGTGTGTGTCATTTTCAGTCAATTAAATCTGACTTAAGCACTAAGTGGAGAAGGGTTTGTCTTCCCTAAACCTTATCACTTTTGCCAGCAAGATTGCTTAATTTAGTAAAAACCTTTACTTTATCGCAGCAGTTTTTTCTAATTAACGAGTCAAATGAACTCTAAGGGTTTTAAATATCTAATATTTATTTAATATTGTGCACCTATAATGTTTGCAAAATGGTCTGTGTAGGAAACTAAAAAAATAATAAAAAACGCTTCACTCTTTAATTTTTCTATCCTACTTGTAGTTAGGGACATATATTTTTATCACAAGAGGTTTCGGATATTTTTGTCTTGCCATTTCAAGTTACTCTTTTTCAAGACATCCAGAACTAGATCCTTCAGTGTGATGGGGCAATCATCAGAAGCAGTGTATGCTACAGAGAGAATAGAGGTAGCTAAACATCCAACATTTCATGTAATCCACCAGTGTAGGTGAGCAGACTCTTGGCTGACATCCATCTGTCTAATAATGCATCATCATTGCAATAAGCAGAGAGTAGTTGAGGAAAATGCTGCTGTGCTATTTTGCAATATTCTACCAAAACACATTAGCCCAATTTTCACTATTAACCTAATGGTACTGAGGAGTGCATTGTACATTGGTATTTAAAATTGTTATGGTAACCATTGTAAAGATCACAAGTTCATTTGTGGGCTCTAGGATAAGTTGGATGTAGAAATGAATGAGCTGAAATTCCCTTTTTATTTGCACAAAACTTGAAAACTTACTTCCCTTTAGAGTCCTCCTTGAATAATTAGTACTTCCAGAGTTTTTGCTTAAGTTAGAACTGTCAGAGTAAATAAATAAACTGTTTTCCACTTCCAAAGGAATGCATTAGTGAGCATTATCTGGTGAATAAATAGAGAGGTCTGACAGGGTACATACATTGAGAAAGGCAACTCAAGAGAATAATGGGGGGGAGAATGTTTCTCTCCTTTTTTTTTTTTTTGTTTTTTCCCTTAGTGGAAAAGGTAATGGTATCATGTTTAAAATGTATAGTAAATTGGAACAATGTTCATTTTTCCAAATTTCACAGAAAATATCTCGATAGATATTTCCAAGATCTGAGGTCTTCAAAGAGCTTCTGTTTTGACAGACGTGATGATGATGGGATGGAGTAGATATATGAAAGGATATGATCCAATAATGTACATATTTATGAGAAGAAATCTAATAAAATATGTTTTGCATGAATGCATGCATCATCTTTATCTTTTTTGCAGAATGAAAAAATGTTGCATTTTAATTCAAATATTTTGGTTACATTTGGATCTTCTTGCTTTGGAACTTGCTATAGTAAGTTAAAAGCATTTCCCTCAGCAGAATAGCAACTGTCATCTGTTAAAAAAGGGGGGGGGGGATTGAATGTATCTGACTGTCTTTTCATTAAAGACAGACAAGAAAGGGATTCAGTGACTGTACATATGTTGCTGTAGCTCAAATATACTCAGAGGAACACAGGTTAATTATTCATTTATTCTTCTGGCACTTTATTTTGTACATTTGCTCTATGATTAATTGTATTCTGTTCCTTTTGATTAACAGAAAACAGCGATATAGATGAGGAGACTATGAAGGCAAACTCTCAGGGGTTTATTGGATGTCTCTCTTCAGTGCAGTTCAACCACATTGCTCCTTTGAAGGCTGCACTGCACCACAGCAGCTCAGCCCCTGTCATTGTAAAGGGACGCTTCACTGAATCCAACTGCGGTACTTTAACTGGAGCTGACTCAACATCAAGTCAAACAACCCGTTCATTTGCAGGTAGCATATGGTTATCACTTGCTCTGATCTCTGAAGTAAAATCTAGAGTACTCATGACCTGAGTCACAACTGTCTTTCCCCCCCCCCCCCTCCCCCACCATGTGGGTTAACAACTCAGGAGTAGTTTGAAAAATAATTTTCTTTTATATATACTTACTTACTTTTCTCTAGCCTTTCTCTTTTCCTCTGAATGTTTACATTTTTCTATTTAACTCTGCAAAATATCATCCTGCAAAATATCATCTACATCACAGTTCTTCTCTGCATGCTTATGGACCCACATGACTGCCACTGTACCATACTCTACATGAACTGTAACCATGTGAGAATTTTTTGAAAACCCATCTTCTATTTGCCTTTCACTTTCCTTTTTTTCTACTGCAGATCACTCTGGACCGATAGATGGGGGAGAGCCCCTAGCTAATGCAATCAGAAGTGACTCTGCAATTATTGGAGGTAATAAGGACTACAACAACTCCCTGGGAACCTCTTTTTTTTTTTTTCCAATAACTTTGTTTCAATACTCAGATGAAGTCGGTTTAATTTTGTCTGCATAATGAAACTAGAGGAAAGGCTTCATTTTAATACAAGTGGTAGAGAGAAAAAAAATCAAGCATTGTTTTAAAATGCAGTCAACGGCTCTCATATTTTCTTGTTATATAAATTTATGCCATCGGTATTTCTATACGTTGGAACATTCTGCTGAAACACAAGACACTAAGAATGGGTTTCCAACCTGCCTACCGCTAGTGTCTATGACATAAAAAAGAACTTGGATATGTTGTGACAAACAGCAAATGTTTGAGAAAGAACAATCTTTTCTCCTTGACTATGCCCAAAAGTTATATTTTGCTACACAGTCAAGCTCAAAATCTTCTTTAATAGATCTGAGCAACACAAATTGTTATCAAGAAAATGTGATCTAACACTGCTTGAAGTAATCCTTTGACAGACTGAGGCAAGTTTGATTCTGGTTCTGCGTCTGGAAAGCAACTTACTCTTGAACCGACTATCACTTACACTGAGTAACAACTTAAAAATAAAAAGCATATTAAAATAATAATTTTTAAAAGTTACTGTTGGTTTGAAATATAATTTCTTCAATTGCTTACTATTCATTTTGGCCACTTTTATCAGCTCAAACAGAACTACAAATTATCATCCACAAACTTTTTTCAAAACACTTATTTTCAACAGAGTAATAGGGGAAGAACCGTGGCAGTTCAGTTGCTCTTAAAGTGAACATTTTGACACTCCCTTTACTTTTTATGACTGTGAGAACAAATATGGTATAAAGCTTAGGACGGAGGTCTTCTGCTTAAAGCACAGAACCGACAATCAAGATATGCAGGTTCGACTACTGTGTCTTTTAGGCCAATCATCCTTAAGCCAAGATCCATCTCTGTTTCAGCGGAGAAGCCTGTCAGTTTTGTGCCTCTAGGAGAAATGAAGAGTACTCAAGTGAGCCTTAACAGGCAGATCAGGATCAGGGACCCTCAGGAGAATTTCTGTTCCTGTCACCAGTGTTGGAGCAAATGCATGGCTATGTCTGTTCTTTTTTTTCTTTCAAGGAATAGCATTATCTCTTGTGACAATCTTCCCCAGTGAGAATTTCTGGTGGTATTACTACTCTTGGGAGGAGGTAAGGGAAGGAGACTTGCTTTCACTCATGAAGCAGTATAATTCACTATTTCATTTTCCATTACTTCAACAGAAAGAAGGCGGAGGAGGGGAAGGTCATTCCCTCCATTTTTAAATTTGGAATAGTTTTCCTTTCTAAGGATTTTAAAAGCCTTAGCAGACAAATGATGTAGCGGGATTTAGCAGAATAAAGCTACCAAGGCTTCTCACTGAGGATAAAAGTATTTAAGTCTATGGAAGGTGGAGTTAAGATAAGAACCTGCAGTCATCTCTGTGTCTGCTATTTAAATAATGCAACCTGCTATGGTTAGTGCCTGCCAGCAGGACACTGCATGGTCAATGACCTTTAACACAATAGTGTTAAAGATATTGAAATAAGAGATAATAAAACCTAGAAGCTTCCTTATGATAGCTTTCTAAAGCGATACATACGTCTGTATATCTTTATATACACAAAATTTGATAATTTTACCACTGAATTCAGTGAGGTCAGAATTTTAAAATATGGTTTCTGAGTTCTGCATGTCTAACTTTGTCATAAATTACTTCGCTGTTTCAGAAGATAAGTATTATTTTACATAAGTATCTGTACATAAAGATGACTTTATGTACTAAGTAGTTTAGTGTGGGTGGGGATTTTTAAGTGTACTAACAACAAAGGTATTTTTGAACTTCAAGCTACAATAGTTATAGTATTTTAAAGATAATAATATCCTCACAGTTTTATTGTTATTAAACACATTTAGGCATATGCACTAACAATTTTTCTACTGCTTAACTACAGTTGTTTAAAAGTCAAAATAAAACAAGCTGTACAGCACTCAGTAAAAGTTTAATGCAAGTACCCTCAAATGGCTGTGACTGAGAATTGTACCAATTCAGCTACTTCAGACAAGGCAAGTTTATAGATGGTCTCTTATGGGACACATACTGTTGTTATGAAACAAAGAAATGACTGTTCTATTTAATCTAAATAAGAACAAGATTTTCCCAGATTATAGAGTCTATTCAGAGAAGAAGATACCACACAAAAAAGTTTATATTCCTACCGTTAAGGATGGCTGCTCATATTGGAGAATGAAAAAAATAACAAGGGCTGAATTTTGGATGGCCTGGTTTTATTTCACAGAATCGTAAAATTGTAGAAAGGCTTGGATTGGAAGGGACCTTAAAGTCCATCTAGTTCCAAACCCCTGCCATGGTATTACAACACTAAGAGACTACATACTTTTATTTTTTTTCAGTAGTGGACAAGTTACGTACCAGATAATTTCTCTATCTAGTACAGCTGAGCCACTGTGTTACAACTGTTTCCCGGACTCTCTAGTGCAGTTTTCCTCTCTACAGCCTAGTCCTCCTTTCTGCTTCTTTGACAAGCACTTTCTGCTTCCCTTCTGTTTCATTTCTCCTCAAATTCCTCCTTTGACCAACCTCCCACTCATGAACTTGAGGGCCTGAGACCATCATGAGAAGATGAATGATGAAGAGAGTAGATGGGCTAGAAGTCTGTAAGGGCATGCTTATCTCTGTGGGAAGTATCTATTCCTTACCGTTCCTAATCTGCCATGCTAGGAGCGGCGTGCATTGGTAACAGTTCAATAAATCTTAAATAGTCTCTTTTAAAACTAAGCGGCCATTCCATTTAGTCTCTTGTGTGTTAGGCATGTTGCACATATGGTACCTCATGAGTCCTCTATATAAAGCTTATGCTCCTGCCCCTTTGCTTTCTAACTGACCTGTTAGAACACCATAATGCTGGTGACTGTACTGATGATGATTTTACCCTACCAGATGGGGCTGATAAATCTGTTGGAAAAGGAAGCTTGTTTATTACCATCTGCGTAGGCAGAGACCTTGTTTACTTATGAACCCAAGGTCATGTAGCCATGCAAAGCAAAAGCATATCTAGGATGTCAGAATAAGTTCCACAAACCTGAAAGGAAAGGAAGAAATCAAATCTATATTATTTCACCCTGGACATGAGGTGAGCCATGCGTGATTTTAGTATTTTAACCAGTGTCTATTCATTACAACGGTGCAGTTACAGAAATGTGTAGTTACAGCCAGTGTAGATCATGAAAACCTCTACATCACATTATGATGTGCCAAAGACAGTCAAATGGAGTTGAGATTTTCTTCCATGAGGCAGAACACACTTTAGATTTTCTGTCCCACCTGAGCTAATGATAGGTGGTTATAAACACTGTCCAGTTTCCGCTGGAGTCCCTATGATGAACTCTTTAATATTTTCTTTTGCAAATTATCCTCATTAACTGCATTGTTTAGTCAGAACCAGTCATCAGTGACCTGAACTAATTTGTGTGGAATACTGGATATTAACTGAACAAATTCAATGCAAAAAAATTTACTGCAAAGGGTCTGAGGCTTGTGGTGTGCACAGGCAGAGCAGATAGAGGACCTGGTTCTGAATTCCAGATTGATACCTTTGTTCTCACCCTATTCTGCTGTGCCTCCGATCTCTAGAATCCTTTCACAGGTCTGGAGCAGTGATAGCAGAGCTGATGAAAACTGATGATGTCCCTTTCCCTCTTGATGACATGGGGTGTGAGAAAGGGTCCTAAGTGAAGTGAATGACTGAGGAATGGGAGAATACTTTGTCCAATACTTGTAGGATTTGGGGAAAATGAGAAAGTTTAGTAGTGCCCACTGTGTTGCCTCACTGTCTGGTAGGAAAGTCCCTGAAGAACACCTCCTCAAACCTGCAGTGGCTTGAGTTCCCAGCCTGGCAGAGAGCTAGGGGTTGATGGTGAAGGAGGAAAAGACACCCTCTTATCCGCAGTACCCAAAGGCCCCTACTGGCTTTCCGTTCAGAAGTTTCAAAAATCACAGTATTCTATGGAAATTTTTTGGGGTATTAGTAGTGTGCAAAATGTCACAACAATCACAGTGAAGCTGATATTACAGTGCCGTTTCTGGTTTGAAAGTAGCTATAGCTTCTTATTTATCGGGTTTCCCTGTTTCCCCCCTCCATTATGTGATGGAGCCTTTCCTTCCTTGTCCTACTCTTTGGCCCACTAGTTATTATTTGTCTATTCTTTCTCTTGACTTTTTTCTCTTTTGTTCTCCTAGGTGTAATAGCGGTCGTGATATTCGTCCTACTTTGCATCACTGCTGTAGCCATACGTGTTTATAAAAAAAAAGGCATATACTCAAAAAATGGGGCTAAAGGAACTGAAAATGAAGACAGTGCTGAATCTGCGCTGAAAAGTGAGCTCAGCATGCAAAACACAGCCAATGAAAATCAAAAGGAATACTTCTTCTGATTGGCATTCATCATTTAATTTAAGATAATAATGTGACAGTCTGACTTTTTTGCTAAGCCAGGGGCTCTCAGTGGACAGAACAAGTTCTTGCACTCTACAGTAAATGCAATGGATTTGAGAATTATTATACTGCGTATGTTCAGTCTCAGTGATTGCTCTAGGGGGCCTCTTTAAATTACATGCATTCCTTAGCTATTATACTGTAAATGCATTTTATGTAACAGTGAATTAGATATTGTAACGAATTTCATTGTTGGTAGTTTCCGACTGTTCTGATGTGACCTTCTACAACTGACTTTTAACATACATGCTGAATATGATTTTTGAATGAGAAAATTGTTATGAAGTTATTCCTATTTTTTTTTAATTTGTTCAAGGTGAAAGGTGGATTCTAATACTTTATTTTACTAAAGAAATTCTGATATGTTGTATTATCCTGGTCCCTCTTACTTCCTCAAATTGAAAATGCCTTTTGAACTGCTGTTAGCTGGTGTCAGCATCTGCTTGTGAGACATGGTGTTTGGTGTCCAAAACTAATTGTATTTTTTTCCTCTGGGATGTGACCAGTGTCATCACTATCCCTTCTTTATGGCAAGCCTAGCAGGACCTAAAACTGAAGGACTCACAATGTGTTGAAATGTTGCAAAGTCTCTTTTGCAATAGGTTTTTCAGTTATGGTCAAGTGATGGCACCAAGAGACTCATGCACATTCAAGGTATTTTAAATAAAGTTGGGATCACAAAAGGTAAGACATTTACTTGTAAAGATCAAGTACTGTATTAACAATAGTCAAATTATCGTGAGTGAAAACATCAAAAGATGATGAATATTATTTTTCCTTTAAATTAGAAATATCTCTTCTGCCAAGAAGCAGTGCTTTGTGCACTATCTGGAACGTGTTCTCTGAAAACATCATGTTTGTGATCTGTTCCAGACCTCAAGATTAAGTTGTTCTAAATTATAGAAATTATTTATTATTATTAGGAAAATAGAAGTAGGACATTTAGAGTCTAGTACAGTGACTGCTACTTGAATACTTTTATTCTTCACTCTTAATAGTACCTACTACTACACCTCAACAAGATAAGGTCTGATTATAGCACTCAAAATTAAATGAGTGCTTACTATCTTGACAGAGTAAATGAGAGCTATAATGCTGTATAAACAAATTGTCAGATACAAAGGGTAAATTTAAGTTGTCTAAACAGAAGATTGTAAGGTCACTTTAGACACCACAGTGTGTCTGAAATACGCATATGATCAGGTGGGAATGTCACAAGTTCTACAGAAGGTATGTGTCTTTTGGAAGGGACATTTGGGAATTGGGTAGAATACCCCAAGGCATCGAAAATGGCACTAGATACTAATCTTTGGGTAAATGACTCTCACACAAAGGATTTTTTGTTTTTCCCCAGACAGAATACTGTGTACCTACAGCTTGAATCTGAGAAAATAATCAGGAATTCTGTGTCCTTTTAGACTTGAGTTTAAAATTTAAACAGCTTTCAGAATTGATTTATATCTGCTCCCATTGAAAACAATGTTAACAGTCATTGCTTTTCTCCTCATTCAATGAGGAGAATCAAAACTAGACCCTAGACTGTGAAGCTTAGAAAATGTTTATCATAGATGCCCAAGAACGTTCTAAAGACATAGAAACCTGACACAATGTGCCATACTACATAAATGGTAGTTGGAAATCTAAATGTCCAGCAGATATAATCTTTTAAAGTTTATTTTCTTCCATCAATCTTTACTTTCTGTTTTCACAATTCTACAGTTCCTTTTCTGCTTCCTCCTTTATGGTTTGATTTCATTTTAGGAACAAATTATTTCCTTTTTTTGGTAGCTGGAGGTTCTGCAGTCAGAAATGGTTCAGATTAGGATGGACTCCTTCTTTTTGTGATTCTCTGCGCATCTCTTGTAGCTTAATCGGGCTGAGGATCAAGAACTGGGTCTCCATGTCATGTATATGTTACTGTATTTACTGATATGGCTTGGTCCATGACAATAGGACACCTTTAGAAAAGACAGAATATGGTGAAGGAATGATACTTAACTGTTCCCAATAAGTGATACGAATGACAATACTCTGTTTTGTGGGTGGGGAGTGGAGAAGATGAAAGCTTCACATGGGTCATGAGAACAAGACCTGGAATTGTTACACTTGCTACTTGGGATCCCCTCAGCCTAGCTAGTTATTTGAAAGTGAAAATTATTACTTCTTTTCAAGGCTCTGGTCTAAACTGCATTGAAATCAAGAGAAGTCCTTCCGTGGACTTCTCTGTAGCTCAAACTCTCTGCGTCTCAAGAGTTTTTCCCTTCCTGTGATAGATATGTCAGTGTCCAACTTTTTGTGTCACTTCTGTCAACAAATCTATCAGCAGTGATGAGTCCCAGTCAACTCCATTTTTATCAATGTGGAATGTATCCCATGTTGATTATAAGGTATTAGATGACCAAAATGGACATTTTGGCTGAATTATAAAAGACAGACTATTCATATGAGAGTTACCCACATACTAACCTAATAAAACCTAAAGAGTACCTACACTAGGACAAGTTGGAAGTATGCAAACTGAACTTTTCAACCACTTGCTTTTACTTCAATTTCCTTGTTAATTTTTGCCGTGTGAATTGATGGAGACTCTTCCCTTACTTTGTTTTCTTCCAAATGAATAGTTATTTTCTTCCCCTATTCCTTAGAATTTTAAAAAGCAACAGGAAGGGAAAAGCTGAATAAACCTGTATTTCACAGACGAATTTTAAAAAAGGGAGGGTATAAATGTCTGTGTGACTGGCACATTATTTAATTCAAAGACCTTTTTAAGGCATTTTACTATATGAAGGATTCTAAGGTGAAAAACAAAAATGGATTTTGTTGAACGCACATCTATCTGCAGATTTGTAGCATACAGTAATTATGTGTCTCTGAAGATGCAAATGCCCATTTTCACCTGTAGGAAGAGTGATCATATATTCATCACCTGCATCTGAAATATACAGGTTTGTAGTCAATGGAGCAGCATTTTCCATAACTTGCTGAATTTCTATGGGTACAAAAATATTGTGGCACTGAAGTGTGCTGAGACATCACACAGCATTGTGCTGTCCCTTTTTTGTTTCTCTGTTCCAATGTGTGACCTTTCACCTCTCTGTTAATAAACAGATTTTAAATAAAGTGAGGAAAATATTTTTTAAAAAATTTGTATTAAAAAGTTTAAAACTGAGAACAATATACTGATTTTTTTTTAAAACAGTAAAAATCTGTAGAAGTGCACATAATATACTGGTGAGTGTGGTTATTTATAGATATTACTGGGTGTTAGTGTAACAAATTTACTACACATTGACACTCTTTTTTTTTCTTTCCATGGCAAGTATATTTTTTCTTAAATACATTAGAAAATAAATAACAGCATTATGCTGTTACATTTTTAAAACTTTGTGCAGGCACCAGCTACAAAGGGCTTTTAATTATTTATGTACTCAACATTTAGAGGATAAACGTGATTTAGTTATGTTTTGGGAGGACATTTCCCATACATCCATTGGTGTATAAATGAAGAATATGTAATAACTTAAGTGTAGAACCTAACATGAAATGTGCTAACAGTCAAAATAAATTTACAGCACCATTATTCATGGCAGTCACATACAAGAAAAAAAGTGTGTAAATGACAAAACAGACTGAATTCCTGGGAGTAATCAGCTGTGTAGATTAGAGTACCCAGATTTAGGCCAGGAAGCCTGCATCACCAGTGTAAGATAAAGTCAGAAAATGCAACTATTGCAGGTCAGTAGAGGTTAATAGGAAAATACCCATCTGAAATAAAATGAATTACCTTAAAAAGTAATTATAGAATCATAGAATCACAGAATGGTTTGCGTTGGAAGGGACCTTACAGGCTGTCTAGTTCTAACT